CTGAATCGATGTAATTTTACAACGTCGTTGATCGATTTCTCCTCTTCACCTAGCACTCGACTGATGCCTAACCTCAATATTCCACACCCTAATAAACTACTTAAAATAGGAGATGGAACTCCGACACCTGCGATGAAAGACAGCTAGCTCTTTCGTATCTTCAATTTTCAATACCATGTCTCGCTCACAGCCCATTTTCAAACAGGACGGAGAGAACAACCGAGCAGTGCAAACGTCATTTGATCAACAGCCAGTTAGTCGGATAACGCGTCTACTAAGCCAGAGATGGCGTAGTTTGTCTGAGAAATTCCGAACGCTGAGCTGCCACTTCAGTTCCTTCGAATGTTCAAGCTAGGAGTCAGTCGATGTAATCCAGTCCTGTAGCCTCATTATCTTACATTTGACAGTGAGACCTAATCTCATTGGCACTTTGTCAGCGTTATCACCTAGCAGGGATAACTACATCACCTTCATTTTCTGAGTCAACGAGATCATTCCTGGTGGTAACATGTCAAATCCTGAGTTGGTGAAGTCTGATAGAGTTAAGAGCATTAGTGCATCTCTGGTGAAATTCAAAAGAAATGGAGGCAGTGTCCATCTCTGACGGACACCTGGTTGTAATTACAGTTGTCAGATGGCAAATATCTGTAGGCTCCTACCTCGCTGAGTGTTAGTCAGTCGATCTGTTTGTAAATCGACATCGATTGACATGGTCAGGGTAAGTGTTACGGATTCCAAGCCACCGCCTACCTCACCGAACATTGTCAGGTGTCATTGGAAAGGTTTGGCAGACATTCAGTGGTGGACAAATTAAGTCGTTACATCAGTTCATGAAGTTGTAAGAGTTGGACTTGGGGTTTACTTCGACCTAACAATAACCGCTCTTACAAACTCCTTCACCGTTTATGACCTTAATTAGTACTCTGCCTACGTGCAAGTACTAAGAACGGAATCAAAGTTAGAAGAGTCGAAATGGCAAGTGTAACTGGACCGGAATTGTATTTACACAAAGAGATATGCAATTTGATAAGAAATAAAAAGTACACACTTATCTGGAGGTGAGACGGTTGTCGGCTCGTAGAGTGTACTAGGTGAAAGTACAGCGAGAGAGCGAGACAGTAACCGTACAGGAGTACAAAGCGGAAGTGGGGTTAAAAATGTCAGGTTGCGTTCATTCAAACAAAAGTTCAAAGGTACAATGTATACTACAGGTTATCCCCCCCCTTAGAAGGTTGGTGGGATGACAGCAAGCTTCGATATATAAAAGTGACAAGGTGGCGTACAATAACAGTGAATGGACAAGAAAATGTGAAGATAGTAATAAAATAGTTGTTTTTCTTTTTTTTTTTTAAAAATATATATTGAGAAAGGAAAGAATGAAGGAAAAGAATTAAGGCAATTTATGAGCACTATGTACATGATCGATGGAGTAAGATGGAATATAAGAAGGAATAACGCTGGTGCCTTGGTGCGATTTTTTTTTAAAATTTTTTTTAACTTCGTTTATTTATACTTATCTTTTTTATTTTTATTTTATTTATTTAGTTTTTTCTTTTTTTTTTTTACGACATACTTTTACGAGCTGGGTTATGTGGAGGTGTGATGGTTTACCTCCGTTACCCAGGTTGTTATAACGGGAAGGTGGCTCATTATGTCTAAGTTTCCTCTTAGACTAATGCTCCATCCTTCTTCATCAACTAAAACTAGTAGTAACACCAAAGGCAATCAATATACCAGCGTATTAGGAGGAATAAAGTAAAAACAACAGAAAAGAATAGAAGAAGAGGTTAAGATTTAAAAATCAGCATAGGGTGTTAACAAAAACTTAAGAGGAATAAATGCGAAGGAACTAGTGTAACATGGGAGTGGTACGCCAAATTGAAATAAAACAAGGGAAATTGCTAACACTGTGAAAACTTATGCAAGGTACAGAGAAGTGTGTGTACAACCAATAGCTATGAATAAGTACAATCACCATTTGTTAAAAAAAAATGTAGCGAGCTGCATAATTAAAGTGATGCAAAGTAATTACAAGTATGGGTCACAAAATAAATAAGTTTCGTCATGGCATAACTCGAGTGAAAATAGTATGATCTGTGAAAATAGATTGAGCGGACTAAAATGTACAGCATAGAAGTGACGTATTTACATACAAAAATATTTAACGGTCCGTTTAACTATACAGTGAAAGTTTTTGTTTTAACATTTTATTATTTTTTTATCGGGTCCATATTTTTGGTCGATTGGTTTGTAATTCCACGAGAGTTGGGAGTCACCATACGACAATGGAATGGACTGGTCTAGTTAGCAGGTCGAGTGCAACGCCAAAAATAAAATGTTAAAACACTGTAACGAGAAAGAAATCTAACAGGATTAGTAAATGAAAAAGTGGCTACTGCCCACAAACAAAACCCAAAAGAGTAAATATCATGAAAAATGAATGTAACGTGAGAAAAGACATGAAAGGTATGAGTTACTCTTGTAATTAAAAACGTTTAGTTAAGAAATTCACAGTATCGTTTAGGCCAGTGTTTGTGCAAGTCAATCAGCGATCTCCAACGAATAAAATGAGATTCCGTCTCATAAAACAGAAACTTATTTCAGACCAGTAGAACGCTGGGAATATGCTTACAGTTTTTGTGTCTAAGAAAGCATAAAATTAAATTGTAACTGAGTTCCAAGATAATGTTTACCTGTATCGACAGTGACTCCTCTTATGTTTATGACTTAATTCAGCAAATGGATAGTTTGTGCTTCCACTCTCTGGAACAAAATCCCTGACAGTTAAACTGAGTCAGGTAGGGAGATGCAGACTTCCGGGTTGGGGCCCGACCTCGGGACTCTAAGAATCAATGGCTGGAGACAATAGGTGACATGGCTCAAAATCGTTGTCAATGGCTTACGCAGATGTATTCAGTCTCTGTAATCTTTCATATTCCTTTCTACCATTACTCATTCTGTTTCACTCTTATACTTGTCAAAACTCTACTGATTCTCTTCACTCATTTTCTTGTCTACCTTTGTGTGCGATTTGGAACGTGGCAACTCGAACTGCTGCGCTTCGGTGCCAAGTTGTATGTTGAATCCAGACAGACTCTCTGGAACAATTCCATTCTGCTATTTCTTTAATATCAGTCCGTGTACTTTGGTTAGTAAACACCGCGAAACTCACTAGCTTCTTTGTAGTTTTAAGAAATTAAGCAAGTGAATATTTTTTAAATTTTATTTTGATTTACAGCTTGATTCCACACCGTATTTTCAGTACAAGTGTGGAATTTTCAGCATGGATATCGGTAGCCCAAATTCAGGCCAACCATAGATATCGGGTGTGCGCCGGCAGGGGATCGAACCCCGGACCATGTGCATGGTCGGCGAGAGTCCTAACCACTGTGCCACCGACGCGCTTCTGCAAACGGTAATACATATATGCTAAAGAGAAATATGAAGTATCAGAGGTAGTTTTCTGTGTTGAGCTCTAGTTACTGTCCTAGCGTGTATTGACTAACCATTTAGAAATGCAGAACAGCTTCATGCTTTCGTTATGGTTATCTAATATCCTTGCGACGGTGATAGTATTTAGATCTAAATAGCATATTGTCATAATTTCTCACTAGTTAGTTTCCATAGATATTTATCATTTGTGCAGGAAAACGTTCTTCCGCGACATCTCGTTACACAATAAAACTAAGTGCCTTATTTTCTACTATGGTCACACGAATGTCCTCATGTAGAGCAGTCACTAGCTGGTTAGTGAAAACTGAGTCCACTGAATGTTTAGTTTTAGTCGCGGGAATACTTTGGCATTGTGGTTTAGTAATTCTTGACAAAAAGAATTCGCTATCAGGCTTCAGATGAACATAGTTGTTTTAGACCTGGTGACTTGCAATCAATGAGCGTAACATTACATAATTAAAACTTGAAAGGGTGAATTAAATGTGAACTTGTTGATGTGAAGAAATTTTAACTTAATTGAATTTCACTTTATATTTATCACATTTTTAGAAAATATTGAAAATGGGGAGGCAATAAATGACAATCAGCATTTGTGTGAACTGTCAAACCATGTAGTCAATAATACAGTATCTAATAACAGTCAAACGAGTAGTATATGTGAAACGCTTACACCAAGTACTTCCACCTCAGAGGAAGCATGGAAACCATTAAATCAGAAACACAAATTGAGATCTATAGAATCCCTTTGTGAAGTTATGCTTCTTGATGGTATTCCTACACCTTTCACCAATGAGAACACGGATTGTGTTGCCTGTAAACTAAGAAATCACGTGCAAACTGAAACGGTAATTAGGATGGTTTGTGCAGCGTGCCCAGAATTTCCTCGGCTTTGTTCAGCACAATGTTTTCGATGGTGGCACAATATTCATTTACCGGCACTCCGTAATAAACCAAGAACAATAATCGAATCCGAACAAACCGGTACAACGATAAAGAAATCAAATAACCAAGTGATGGTTTCAGAATTCCAGGTACTTGACCAATCAAGTGAATTAAAAGCGCCTGAGAAATCAGTCCCTCAACCTTGTACAGCATCCGTACGTCGGCTTGTCGGAAAAAGAAAACGACGTAAAAGATTCCTATATTCTAATGCAAAAAGGAAAGTTATACCAGTCTGGCCTAAAAGTAAATCCCGTCGTCCACCGAAAAAAACGCTATGCTAATTCTGATGATCCAGAATGGAGACCCGACAGGGGATTTATTGGAAAAGTGAATGTAAATAATTAACAATAATTTCTTTATAAGATATACAAATGTGATTCAACTGAGCGTATACACAATATTTTTGTAAACCCTGATGTGAATGGGGGAAAAATACAAAAATATTGTGTATGCGCTCAGTTGAATCACATTTGTATATCTTATAAAGAAATTATTGTTAATTATTTACATTCACTTTTCCAATAAATCCCCTGTCGGGTCTCCATTCTGGATCATCAGAATTAGCATAGCGTTTTTTTCGGTGGACGACGGGATTTACTTTTAGGCTAGACTGGTATAACTTTCCTTTTTGCATTAGAATATAGGAATCTTTTACGTCGTTTTCTTTTTCCGACAAGCCGATGTACGGATGCTGTACAAGGTTGAGGGACTGATTTCTCAGGCGCTTTTAATTCACTTGATTGGTCAAGTACCTGGAATTCTGAAACCATCACTTGGTTATTTGATTTCTTTATCGTTGTACCGGTTTGTTCGGATTCGATTATTGTTCTTGGTTTATTACGGAGTGCCGGTAAATGAATATTGTGCCACCATCGAAAACATTGTGCTGAACAAAGCCGAGGAAATTCTGGGCACGCTGCACAAACCATCCTAATTACCGTTTCAGTTTGCACGTGATTTCTTAGTTTACAGGCAACACAATCCGTGTTCTCATTGGTGAAAGGTGTAGGAATACCATCAAGAAGCATAACTTCACAAAGGGATTCTATAGATCTCAATTTGTGTTTCTGATTTAATGGTTTCCATGCTTCCTCTGAGGTGGAAGTACTTGGTGTAAGCGTTTCACATATACTACTCGTTTGACTGTTATTAGATACTGTATTATTGACTACATGGTTTGACAGTTCACACAAATGCTGATTGTCATTTATTGCCTCCCCATTTTCAATATTTTCTAAAAATGTGATAAATATAAAGTGAAATTCAATTAAGTTAAAATTTCTTCACATCAACAAGTTCACATTTAATTCACCCTTTCAAGTTTTAATTATGTAATGTTACGCTCATTGATTGCAAGTCACCAGGTCTAAAACAACTATGTTCATCTGAAGCCTGATAGCGAATTCTTTTTGTCAAGAATTACTAAACCACAATGCCAAAGTATTCCCGCGACTAAAACTAAACATTCAGTGGACTCAGTTTTCACTAACCAGCTAGTGACTGCTCTACATGAGGACATTCGTGTGACCATAGTAGAAAATAAGGCACTTAGTTTTATTGTGTAACGAGATGTCGCGGAAGAACGTTTTCCTGCACAAATGATAAATATCTATAGAAACTAACTAGTGAGAAATTATGACAATATGCTATTTAGATCTAAATACTATCACCGTCGCAAGGATATTAGATTAACCATAACGAAAGCATGAAGCTGTTCTGCATTTCTAAATGGTTAGTCAATACACGCTAGGACAGTAACTAGAGCTCAACACAGAAAACTACCTCTGATACTTCATATTTCTCTTTAGCATATATGTATTACCGTTTGCAGAAGCGCGTCGGTGGCACAGTGGTTAGGACTCTCGCCGACCATGCACATGGTCCGGGGTTCGATCCCCTGCCGGCGCACACCCGATATCTATGGTTGGCCTGAATTTGGGCTACCGATATCCATGCTGAAAATTCCACACTTGTACTGAAAATACGGTGTGGAATCAAGCTGTAAATCAAAATAAAATTTAAAAAATATTCACTTGCTTAATTTCTTAAAACTACAAAGAAGCTAGTGAGTTTCGCGGTGTTTACTAACCAAAGTACACGGACTGATATTAAAGAAATAGCAGAATGGAATTGTTCCAGAGAGTCTGTCTGGATTCAACATACAACTTGGCACCGAAGCGCAGCAGTTCGAGTTGCCACGTTCCAAATCGCACACAAAGGTAGACAAGAAAATGAGTGAAGAGAATCAGTAGAGTTTTGACAAGTATAAGAGTGAAACAGAATGAGTAATGGTAGAAAGGAATATGAAAGATTACAGAGACTGAATACATCTGCGTAAGCCATTGACAACGATTTTGAGCCATGTCACCTATTGTCTCCAGCCATTGATTCTTAGAGTCCCGAGGTCGGGCCCCAACCCGGAAGTCTGCATCTCCCTACCTGACTCAGTTTAACTGTCAGGGATTTTGTTCCAGAGAGTGGAAGCACAAACTATCCATTTGCTGAATTAAGTCATAAACATAAGAGGAGTCACTGTCGATACAGGTAAACATTATCTTGGAACTCAGTTACAATTTAATTTTATGCTTTCTTAGACACAAAAACTGTAAGCATATTCCCAGCGTTCTACTGGTCTGAAATAAGTTTCTGTTTTATGAGACGGAATCTCATTAAATTTGATTTGAGTCTTGTGAAAACACTTAAGCCACAGAAAAGAGGCGGACAGTTGACTTCACTGGAAACAAGTATTGATGAACCGCTGTTTGAAATGATTTCAAGAAGAATAGAGGAACCTGTTTAATGTCAAGTAGAACTAGTACATTGAAGAGATGTAAAATCAGACATTTAAAAAGACGGTTGCGGCGAAGGTCCATATACAAAAAAGCCTACATGGAATGGATAATTCATCAACTTTCAAAGCTTCGTGGCCCGAAGCAGAAAGAGGAATCTTACATACGTTCTTTCTTTAAGGATTCGGAAGATATGCAGCGAGGAAGTGATTGAAGAAGAACTGCGTAATCTCCGAAAAACCCTGATGGAAAACGATTTTCCGCCCAGGTTCATAGACAAGAATCTCAAATCAAAGAAGACTTCCGGACAAATCCAATCCGTCCCGAAGATGACGATACTTCTGCTTAATCTAGAATTCAAAGGTGACATTGAAGCATAAATTCTTCGTAAACGCCTCTGCACGAAAATGTTCAGACAGAACGCGAAAGACAAGCTGTCGCATTGGGCCACTTCATCGTGCATATACCAGTTTACTTGCTCTTGCTGAGCTTAGTACATCGGCTGTACCATGCGCCAATTTGAAAAACGCGCTCATGAACACTATCCAGCCTGGCTAGTAAAAGGAGAACGAAAACGTGTATATAGTTCAGTGACAGGAAATCTGGTCAATTCAGCACCATTCGAAAAATCCTTCAAATTAATATACAAGATTCGATCAAACCTATCAAAGGGAGTAAAATTAAGACATCTGTGCATAACCGAGGCACTAGCCTCCAAAAGCTCAAACCCACGCAATGTATCCAAAAGAAATACGCCTAACCCTTGTCCTTGCCATGGCCATTATAAACAGGTAATTCTTCTAATAGTGACTATCCCATTGCCTTTCTTATCCAAACTTCCTTTTCATGTTATTTTTAAGTTTTCCTTAGTCCCTATTTATACTACCATATTTTCATATTCAAACTTCCCGTCTATTTTGTCATTTTATTATTTCTACATATTTAATCCCTAACTGCATAAACAATTATTCGTCACATTAGTTATGATCCTACTGGAGTTTTTATCCAAACATCCTGTCTGTTTTTGTTGTTTCTACATTTCTAACCTCCAATTGCACAATATGTCGATCTCCTCAGTGATCATGATGCTACTTTGCTTGAGTTTTATCCATCCCCCTGTTTATTATAGCATTTTAATTCCTAATTGTAATTTTATTAATCTGACCATTGACCGGAAATTATTCTGGAACTTTCCCACCCATTTGTTATAAATACACGAATGAACAGCCTAGTTGATGACTTCATCGAAAAGAAAACATTCTTTGTTGGAAGCGTCTTTTCAATAATTTCTTTGGTACAATGTCTATATTACGTAATAAGATATTCATATTTGCAATAATTACAATATATCGTTCTTACTGAAATCAAATGATGATTGTTGGCTTTCGGTTTTAGAAGATTATAAACATCACATAAAATAAAAGAGATGTACACTCACCATTTGTAGCAGTGTGGGTCGACTGTGTATACTATGGATACTACTTAGGCATTGTCGTCGTTTTGCTTGAAGTTTCACTAATGGATGCGATGCGAAAGGATCATTTTTAGAATCAGCATCCACTTCTTCTTCTTTATTGCTTGTAGATGTTTCAACATCCCTGGTATTTTTATTTCTTTGTCGTCTTCCTCGCTTACGACATCGGTTATCCAGCTTATCATTTGACTTGAACCAAAATAGAAGAAAAAGAAACTTTGAAAGTTAACGACATACTTAAACAAGAATTAATTTCATTATTAAAAAACTGCATACGATATCATTGGAAAAGTGGTGGTTTATGAATATACTACTTATTTCCCTTAAGACCGTTTGGCTAACTGATATAGCTTACAGGGACATTCAGCCTTCATAAACTAAACTGCGTATTATACTTCGGTGCAGAAAAGTAGCATTTAGTAAACATGTCTATTTTAGTATTTAGATGGTTAGCACCACTTAGTGTGCAGATGAGACATTCCATAGTTGAGCGGTACTGTGAATCCATTGGGCTCTGTTATGCTATATAAATCTATAAGATCGGAGAGTGCAGAAGGTTTACATGTTTGGAAGCCTTCATCTGCTTAGCACCATTTTCGATGTACGGTGGTGGTGGTACTACGACCATAAAATATACGCAGCAGTTAGATATGAAGTTTTGTGTACAACAGCTCTAAGTCACCCATTGAAAATGATATACGACCATTTAGTATAATGATTGGACAGTGTATCACAAATGTCTGTATCCAGCTCATCAAATAAAAGCACTGTATCAGCTGAACTACAAAAAGGTTGAAAAAGAGATAATAAGTAAAACGAATATATTCAACTATGATAGTAATAACCTAACTGTCTGTCTGTTTTCGACATAGAACTTTGCACCGATGTGCAGCAGTTCAAGTCGCCACACTCCATGTAGCACACAAAGCAAGAGAAGAAATGCAAAGTAGAGGTCTGAGGCAAAGGAACAGTAATAACGAAGAACGATATAGTTTCATTTGAAATCATAAGTCACAAGGAGTGGATGCATCTATGCCAACCGTTGAGAACGATTTTGAGCCATATGACCAATTGTCTACAGCCAATGGTTTTTACCGTCCCGAGGACCCCAACCAGGAAGTCTACATCTTCCTACGTGGCCTGGACTAACTGATGTAGATTTCATTGACTGGTGCCATGTTATGGTTTGACCGCCTCTAGCTCTTTTCCAGCCTGACTCTATATCAGCTAACATTGCCCGTCGAGGAAGGCGATGACTAGATATGCATACGTAAAACATGTCCTAACCATCTCAGTCGATATAGCTTCAAAGTCGCGTCGACTGATCTCCCCTCCTTACCTAGCACTCGACGCCTAACCTCAATATTGCTCACCTTATTATATCACTTACCACGGGAGATAGAACGCAGACACCTATGATCGAAGACAGCTAATCTTTTCATGTCTTCCACTCTCAATGGCCAGGTCTCACCGACCGCCATAAATGAGGACGGAGCGGACTGATGAGCAGTACACCCACCCTTTGGTCGATAGTCGGATGTCATGTCTACGCCAGAGACGGCGTAAACTGGCATATGCGAAACTAGCCCTCTGTATACGTGCTGAGATTTCGTCAGAGATCAACCTGTTGGGGCTGATAGAACTTCCCAAATAAGTGAAGCGGTCAACGTGTTCTACCACTTCACTCCCTGTTTCTTAACTAGGAGTCAGTGTAGTCCAGTCCTGTAGCCTCATCATCTTACATTTGGCCCGAGCCAATCGCATGCCAAACATTCGTAGATTGCAGCTCAAGGTGTTCAGAAGACTCTGCATTTTGTCAGCGTCCTCGCCTAGAAGGACTATATCGTCTGCATATTCTAAGTCAACGAGATTCTTCCCTGGTAGCAAGTCAATCCCTGAGCCTCTGAAATGAGTTAGGGTTAAATCCATTAGTACATCTAAGATGAAATTGAATAGAAATGGGGATAATGGGCATCCTAATTACCCACAAAAGAAACTGTGTTTGTTTCAAAGAGTCCAAACACACTGCAGCACTCCTGTGTTGAATAAAATGGAGGAAAACTACCTACAAACCGCCTTCAAAAAGAATGGATATCCTCACAACACCAACAAGAAACCATCACCAAAGACCACAAGAAAATTCATCCCACCATATATATATATATATATATATATTAAACAATATTCCGAATAATAATGATCATACACAATGGAAACTTTTGGCTACTGAGGAGGCACTAGCTACAGCGAAGGCTCTTAAATTCCATAAATATTGGGAAGGACTATTTACATTAGTGGAGGTACTTAGCGACTCCACCTGTAGGACCAAGGAATTCAATTCCGCTAACAGACTGGTCACACATTTCTGTATACTAAAACTATTTCGGCAACAAACCTCAATTCAGACAAGTCCTGCAGACACTGTCACGTAGCACTGTGGGGGCAGTGCTCGTATAGGAGAGGGGATAGTGTACGTCATGGTAATTCAGGCGGTTTACTAATGTTTAAACTCTATGCTTGTCTGATTACACGACGTCTACATGGCGTGCATGGATTGGTCTATCAAGATGACGCGAAGGACGACCGATAGAAAGATTCTTCTCCTCTCACCCAACTATAACATTATTGGTTGTAAATACAATCGTTGACTTTGAGTCCTCGTTCTTACTAGCACACGTCACTTTTGTGATCAGCTTGCCAACGGACGTCTTTCTGTTTGTTTTGTTAGATCATTACTTAACGATCGGCACTACATAAGTGGCCAGTATGCCAGATCTCTGTTGACAATGTCTTATCATAGAAGTGGTTAACTTCACTGGCACTTCCTAGCAAAGACCACCCTTAACGTAGTGATAGAACGCTCATGCATGATCAAGTATCCAAGGATCAAAGATGTATCACAGAAAAGTTAGTCACCCACCATCAATCACAAAGGAGGAAAAAGACACCTTCACTTATATGTATAAATATACGTCCTGAAGGAAATCGATTGAAATGCAGCTTACCTTCTGTACTGATTCTGTGGTTGTTTCTTTTGTATCACATAAAGTTGTATCTTTAACAGGTGAATTTGCATTATCTGTATTCTCACTATCATAATCCATAGGAACTAAGCGGATAATATCAGATTCTCGGCTAGCATTATCTGTTGTTGATAAATCCTCCACTGCATGTGATTCTGTGGGCTTAGCATTATCCTTACCGACTGAAGTTGGGGTCTATAATAAATAAAAAGAAATAATACTGTGAATAATGAAATGTTAGAGGAACAAGTGTTGAGTATGTGAAAATACAAAAAACACAACGATAACTATTACAGTATGAAATTTGAATAATTTCATTTCAGACGAAGGAAAAAACAATTAATTTAGCTTCAATAAGTAGTAAGTATTCAATTTTTAAAAATTCATTTTCGTTCCTAGTGGAACAAGCTGTGGCGAGTGCTACTTGTAAGATTTATCAGTAGTGTATAAAGAGACGTTCATCGCCATAAAAAGACACCAAACAGTAGGGAGATACATTTGATTTCACAGAAGGCAAATGATACAGCGTTGTAGAGATACATGTGAGACGTGGAAGGAACACAAAGAAACACAACTTGAAGTCACGGAATATACACATTTGATCATTGGGAATTATAAAAAGACGGTTGCAGAGAAGAAAATTCTCTATATGTGTAAAACTCGGGCACTGTGGTAGTAAGTAATTCCATATTAGTTTGTTTATTAGGTATATCACACAGTGAAACAGTATTATTTAATGGATGACGACGTTTCGAACAAAATTTATTGCTGTTCATAATCATGCCATCAATTATAATCACAGGACTTCGAAGTTTGAGTTTTATAGTTTTCTTTGTTCTCTCCTATTTGTCGTATGGGTAGTAGAATTTTCCAGATATCGGGGACAGGTGATGAATCATTCCTATTACATGTATTTGTAGTTGATTCGATAAACAAAGCTTCTGTTATCAATCTCTCCCTATACCCTGTGACATTAGATTTTAAAACTGTCATCCTATCCCATCCTATTGTATGGTTGTGTGTGACTGCATGTAGTGCTATAGCTGAACTATTCTCTAGATTTCTTATCTTATTCGGGTAAACCAATCTAGATTTTGCTAAGTTTTTATGTTCAGTTAGTCTGACTGCCCCTGTTCTACTAGTTTGACCTATGTATTTGACCTGATAATCATTGCAGGGTATTAGATAAACTAAATTGTTTTGTTTTAAAGGCTCTACAGGATCCTCTAACCGACAAAGCTTGTTTCTAATTGAGTTTGTGGGTGGTTTGAATGCCAGCCACTTTTATTCCTGCCTTGTTAAGAATTCTGCGTAAGGTTTCCGAGGTTCCTTTCTTGTATGGAATTACTATTGATGATTTAGATTCCTTATTGTCGGTGTTGTCATTATCTTGCACATGTTTGACATGCATGTCGTCAATAATATTATTGTTATGATCATTATTATTATTATTATCACTATCAGTACTATCATTATTTATTTTATTTTTACGTTTCCTTACGTATTTCCTGACTAATTTGTCAGGGTAATTATTAAGTTTCAAGGCTTCTTTTATGTGTATCACTTCCTGTCTTAGATTTTCCTTGGTACCACTTAGTTTTTGTGCTCTGTCTTTTGTACTTAGTCGTCCGAGCATACAGTCTTCTATGGTTGCTTCTAGTTCTACCTGATCAGATTCAAACGTGAAGCGAGTTGTGTGTGTGGAGAGGATGCTCAGAGTTTTACAAGATAATATTTGCTAATTTCTTGCAGGATTCCACGTGTCTATCTACGACAGTATTAACGAGTTGGATTAGCAAGACACCAATCACCCTACTGACAACTATTAGTGCTCTTCGTAGCATAACAAAGTCTTGCTTAAGTAGCCCGGGAAAGATTAACGGGGAGCAGTGAAGACGGATAGGGAGAATAGATGAATTAGAAAAACTGTAACAGTAGAGACTGAGTGATACCAGGTCGTCTTAACGTAGAACGTAAAACGAAATATTATTCTAGAAACTAACATGATGTAGGAAGACCAGGAAGGTTGATTTGAGGAAATACACAGTCTAAGGTAGTTAACATTTGATTTCGTCCCAACTTCTATGCCATCGATGTTAGTGGAACCCTGCGCGAACTAACCAGTTCATGTCAGTTGCTCTTGTGTTTGAAAGTGAAATTAACAAC